TCTAAGTGTACAAAGATAAAGAGATTTAGACAAACCAAGATTCATTCATGGCCAAAAGAGAAGGAGCCATGAATAAGGGTATACATGGATCATACATAAATTAAAGATTTAAGCCTATTCCTCATACTAGTAGACACGTATTCAGGTTGGCCTGAAGTGGTTAAAGTTTCAGACAGAAAAGCAAGTACTGTAAAACAGGTGTTAATAGCAGTATTTTCAAGGAACAGAGTACCTAAGACATTATTGTCAGATAATGCAACAGAGTTTACTGAAGAAATCTTGTGTATGTGGTTAACATACCCATACTATCCTCAATCAAATAGAAGTGTGGAGAGGATTATCCAGACGATAAAAGTTGTATTGAAAGCATTCTCTCCAGGGAATTGTAGCCTAGGAAGTTATCTACCGACATTACTTTTAAGTTACAGGACCATCTCACATGTGGGCAGCCCCTCAGCATTTATGAGGAGGCAAATTAGAGCCCCAATAATCATGTCCTTCTCAACAAATAAGAATGTATGGTACAAAAGGAATAAGGATTTGAATCATGAGAAAGAACAATTTGTCATGCAAAAGGGATTTAATACAGCAATATTAACAAAAGATGGACAGATTGTGTTAGCTCATGAAAACCAGTTTAGATTGTGAATAGAGCCAGACAATATTGAAATGGAGGAAGAGCCTGGTGCAGAAAAGAGAGATCAGGATGATCACCAACAATTTGAGAGTGAAGGGGAGGAGAGAATGAGTGTGTCTAGTGATAATGAGGAACATGATGAAGGTTCAAATGAAGAAAATCCAGTAAGACTGAGATCCCCCATAAAGAGGAATCTAGGCAAGAAGTAGTAGATTGTTATAGACAAGCGTATGGTTGCAAGAAAGAAATACGACAACAGTAGAAATAGATTTACGTGGTTTATTTCAACAGGAAGGTGAGGGTTTGGGACAGCTACCTTGTGGTAAAGTTCATAAGCTGGCTTCGGATCTAGGTCAATCTCTCATAGTAGTTCACACATGTTGACGGTGGTAGACGCTCCCCTGCTGTCAGCAGCTGAACGGGACAGGTCTCTATCCTGGGCACCTGTGTACTGCCTGTTGAACTTCCGTGTGACCCCTTTTATAGCGTTTTTTTTATGGCTTAACAGGCTCGAAAAATGAAGCGAGTATAATTAGGAGGGAAGCATTTTTATTGGACGAAAAATAGAGCACTTTAAATATTATTTTATTTTTCAACCGGAACACGTGTGTCGGGAACATTTGTAAAGAAAGATAATGGTCATTTTGTGATGGGGCTTTGTCCCGTTTACATCTGGTTCTCATTCTTGAGCATTTGCCTGTAAATCAGCCGAGATATGTTTCCAGGCGATAATAATGGTGATATGCAACTTAGATTGTATTGTAATGAAAACAGGACAAGAGATTCTGTCTAGTAATCGTTTATTCAATTAAGAATACTACTACTCATCTGACTTGACAGCGGAAGTATACAGCTTTTATAACTTGGATTATCTAAGAGGAGATAATCCATATTCACAACATTCTCCCCCACCAAATTTCTCACTGATAGGGAAGAAAGTCCCTTAAATGTCCAGGCTCCCTACGAGTTTGCAGTGGCCGCCTCGGCAGTCCATGATTCGTGGTCGGAGTACTCGAACGGGGAGGCTCTTCAGTGCGAGCCTGTCTGTGGGCTCTAAAATACCTTGCTCCGAAATGTTTCCTTCTCAGAGGAGCAGGCCGTTCCGCGTCAGAGTCAGTCTCTGGATGAACACGTTTATTCAGTGCTAGCCCTTCATCTGTCAGGGTTTCAGGTGTTGGCCCATCTGAAGTGTCTGACGGGGCCTTAACGGAGACAGTGTCGTCAGACGGCGTGTCAGGAACAATTTCAGTGCCATGATCTTCCAGAGGGGCTTCAGTGTCAGGGGTAGTTGGTCTGTCCTCAGGGGCTATCCACAGTCCGGCACGTCTCGGCCGGTGCTAGGTCCCTGAGAGACACATTAGACTCTCTACCATCTGCATGTCGTACTAGCGCGTACTGAGTGTTCGCCTCTATAAGCTCTACCTCGTCCACCAAGGGATCATTCTTGGTGTAACGTGCATGTCGTCTCAGAAACACAGTACCGGGTCGAGAGAGTCAAGATGGAAGCGAAGCTCCCGCCGAACTCCGTCGCTAAAAAGATAGAAACCTTTCGTGTGGGGTGGCATTCGTGGCGGTACACAATAGGGAACGAATGGCGTATAATGCGACAGGAAGGAGATTTTCCCAATTATCAATTGAACATCCGTTATTTGAGGCAGCCAATTGAACGGTCTTCCAAATAATGCCGTTATATCTTTCGCATTGGCCGTTACCCTTAGGGTTGTAGGGAGTTGTCCGGCTTATAGCTACTCCTCGTTCCTGTAGAAATTGCCGAAGCTGCTCTGACATGAAAGAAGCCCCTCGGTCCGAATGTATATAGGCAGGGGCTCCAAAGATGGCGAACAGTGAGCAGAGGCATTGTATAATTGCAGCAGCCGATATGTCTGAACAAGGGAAGGCAAAAGGAAACCGTGAATATTCGTCGATAACAGTTAATATATAGCTGCTCCTTGATTTACTTGGTAGCGGTCCTTTAAAATCAAGATTGAGTCTTTCAAACGGTTGTGTTGCTTTTATTAAAACGCCAGTTTGGGGTTTATAAAACCGAGGCTTTATTTCAGCACACGTTCGACAAGAATTTGTAATTCTTTTTACCTCCTCCACTGAGAAAGGCAAGTTTCTACACCTCACAGCATGAACCATTCGAGTAATGCCCGGGTGACAGAGATTGTTATGTAGCGTTCAGAGTTCGTCCCCGCTTGATGCCGTACAGCATGCTCTTGACAGTGTATCAGCTGTTAAGTTCTCCTTGCCAGGTCGGTAGCTGATGTCAAAGGAGAAACAAGATAGCTCAATTCTCCACCTCGCTATTTTCTCATTCTTTATTTTACTCGTAGTTTTAGAGTTGAACATAAAAGCAACTGATTTCTGGTCAGTAATAAGTTTAAAGTGGCGTCCGATCAGGTAGTGTCGCCATTTTCTTAATGCCTCGACTATGGCGTAGGCTTCCTTTTCAATTGCGGGGTGTCGTCGTTCAGCCTGTGAGAGGGTCCTTGAAAAGAAGGCTACAGGTCGCATAAATTGTTCCATTCTTAATTGAATAAAATGTAATGAAAACAGGACAAGAGATTCTGTCTAGTAATCGTTTATTCAATTAAGAATACTACTACTCATCGATATTGAGTCACCCCCCACGAGGGGGTCAAGTGGGCCAAAGCCCTTTTTAACTGGGCATTCCTGGAGCAATTAGGCTCGGCCAAAAAATAGCCCATTTGAACCCGTATAAACGGGTTCAGGGCCGGTTTTACCTCCCTGAAGGAGACTCCGCCCTTCGGCATAGCCTCCTTCGGGTAATACTACTACTCATCTGACTTGACAGCGGAAGTATACAGCTTTTATAACTTGGATTATCTAAGAGGAGATGATCCATATTCACAACATGTATATAAGTGGGAAGGTTTCTCCACTTGGAACATAGTTATCTTTCTGTGATGACATTGCATACGTGTGAGAACTTTGCATGGCACAACAGAACAAAAGTTAACTAAATACACAAAAGTTTGAAGATATAAGCTTATACGTCAATTGCTCTCTAAATTAAAATGGCTTGCTCAGATAATTGTTGTTGCCTGTATTTTGACTACTTAATTTAATCTGTAATTCAAATAAATCTGGAACCAGTCTTTGTTCAGGCAAATGAAAACTAAAACAAATTTATAGAAGAAATAATTATTTGAAACGTGTTATTTAAATTCTTATTAGTGGTATCTTCAGATTTGGGACCTGTCCTTAACTAGTTATGCCAAACCTGAAGCACTTAAAAAGTGTTCAAAATTTATATTTAGATTGTGTTATTTATAATTTTGACCGAATGTATAAATCACTTTCTTCTTTGGAGTGAATCAGTTTTCTAAGCCAGAATGTTGACTTGTATGCCATTTAGGCTTACTGTATATCTCAGTTTGGCTGGGATTGTCTTAGTTTCAGGGATCTGTTCTAGCGATATGGATTTTTATGTCAGCCCTAAATGGACACAGGGTCATAAAAACACTTTATTATACAGGAACATGAAGCTAGTGTAAACTGAAAACAGTAATAATTTGAGGTTTGGAAATTATGATAAGCCTATATATAATGAAATTTTATATTTTCAGTAGGCCTGTTTTTAACTGGCTTGGATGCAAAATTTTTCATTAAAGTTTAATGGTAGAAGTAGTTTAATGCACTTTTCAACTAGAGAAGTGGTCTTTCCCACTTATTTTAAATTCAGGATCCTTTTTATTGCTGATGTATATATTTTCCTCCTATATCCATCTTAAGGTATAAATTGATTCAGTGTAGTTTTAAATTTTCTCTGTAATATCAGAGTTTTGTTAAAAGATAAACAGCTTATTTTCTCGCTTTAAATTTATCTTTGAAAATTTAAGTTTAAACAAAATTTATCACAGACTTAATGAATGTTTTCAAGTGAGTGCATACATGTATTCAATCATCTAGCTGCTGTACTGCATACATACATAAAAATAAATAATACATTTGCTATGAAGTAAAAAAAAAATGATAGATGAACATCTTCTAAATGTGAGGCTTCTTTGATTTTTGCCAGGAGTTATATCTTCAAGGTTATACAGAACAAGGTGTTAAACACACTAGTATTATGGTAATATATACTCTTCAAACCCAGTCATTCCTAAAACAATATTCATTTATCAATGCCTTCAATCAAGTGTAAAACTGAAAGAAAAGTCTTGTGTGCAATGTTGAAATTCATACACATTTAGTTCACATGTTAGATAATTTTTTTTCAAATTTCTTTGGTATTGGTTTTGAAATAATGAAAACTAAGAAAATTAAAAACAAAAAATGTTCACGACATATGAGAGTAACTTAAAAAGTACTGAAAAAATTTAAGTAATTATCTTACCTGTGTATATTGCTGATTTGATCTTTGTAATCATGTACTTCCACCTTCAGTTGTAAAGTCTGTAAAGCAAAGTAAGAAGGTTTCAAATTCAATTTATGAACTTACATTTCAAAATTTGATCACAATAAAAAATTGTTGAATTGAATGACTTTTTGTTTGTTGTCTTCCTTCCCTAACTACAAGAGCTAAACCTCAAAGCATTCTAACTGCAAAGAATAACAGACAAATCACCAGGATTAACCATATTTAACACAAAGTGTGATTATTTTGGGAGTAGAGGATTACAGTAAGTGATTAGATACAGTAGTAAAAGCAAGTATCAGACAGTGAGTAGATAAATACAGGCTTTCTTTTTAAATGGTGGTATTCAATTTAGAGAGAGAAAAAAAACGTGATTGACCCATTTTTTTTCTTTTTTAACTATGGGTGGACAACCTAGCAGTAATTAATGCTATATACTACTATCTATTCATAATACTTTTGTTTTATTCAGTAATCATTTAAACTTCTTAAAAGTATTTTTGTACAGAAACTAAAAAATATCAATACCAAACTGAGTAAAATCTGAGTTTTCTCACGATGCTGATATAATATACTTCAAATTTATTAAATTTAGTTTCAGAACCTTTATACATCTGACAAAAGATAGAATGTTATTTTATATATTTATTTGGTAATTTCCCAAAAGTAAAAGTAATCCTGTCTTGTATCCAATTAATTTTTTCATTTGCTGTCATAACTGACAGTTTATTAATAATCACAAAATATACAAATTAATAAATTTTGATTTAAACCCCAGAATATAAAACAAGGAAAAGCACAGAGGTGCCTGTTGGACAATTCTTGTCATTGGTAACAAGTTTAATCATTATTGAATACCATATAGACAAAGCTTATTTTAATATGGCATCACTGTTTTACATGTGTTGATTTTTTAGGAATTAATTATGTAAAATAATAGGTCTTCTCTGTATAAAAACAATAATATGAATCTTTTCATTGAATATCCATAATGGAAAAGTTTTTAAATTGTAAAATCATTTGATAAAATTTAAAATCTATATTTTTAAAATTAAACACCTAGTTTAATCATGTAACAAGTCAAACTATTATGAATTAAAATTATATAATTACATACCTGAATATTTCAGACCCATTTTTTTGCTTTTACTATTTGCTAGAAGGGTTTGAAGCCCTATAAGCATTAGGCAAATTATGTGAATAAGAATTTTTACAAAAAAATTACCAAAAGTTTTATGCTAATATTAAGAAGAATATTTTGCATTAAGCTTCATATTGTAAAATAGGATTAAAGGTGTTAAGAGATTACAGAAAAAATAGAATTTAAAAATTTACTTAAACTAACTTTAAAAATATTTGTAATTTAAATAAATTTACCTCTCTCTTTCTTCTATGAGTAAAGGAAAGGAAAAAGAGATATGTAGAACTAGATTCACCTTTGTTTACATAATTTTTAACTTATAAAATCTAATATTTTTTAAAATGTTTTAAACTTTATAAAGTATGTTAAATATTCTATTTTTGTATAGCATTGATATTATTGTTCCAATGTTCATCCATATATAATAGAAGAAATCCCTAAAAGCCACATTTCTTTAAAACACAGTGTCAATAGTTTCAGGCAGTAATTTATGGCCAAAGTTTATCATTCATACATTCATTTAAACTCTGGTTCTATATAATCAATATCATTCATGAGGGAAAAAATTCAAATACCTATTTTGAGATTTTGTTTGATTTTTTGCAATATTTGTGAGTCTGTCAAATAAAATAAAAATTAAAATTATTGCTGTAAATACTCTTTTCTACTTATCAATGGTTTATCTAAAGTGTTCTTTATACTTTATTGAGAACTTGACATTCCTACTTATGTTTATGCAATGTCACAAAGCAATATCATGTATACATGTACTAAAATTCTGATTTGTGGCAACCAAGCTGACAAAGCTATTGTAGAAACACACTGCATTTTTGTCTTGTGTAAAAAGAAATCTTACATGAAGTTGGTACAAAAAGAGAATTCAATATAGTGAGAAAAGTTGAGAAGGCAAAATGAATCGAGTGAAATGGGTAGATAACTTGAAGTTCTTTAAAGTCAAGATTATTAAGCTTACTATTAAAAATAAAGGGAGAGTTTTATGAGTATATTTGAAAGTAGTCATGAGTGAGGTATATTATTGTGAAAGTAAGAAAAATAAATCTTTTTAATAAGTTTTATTCATAAGCAGTTTTTGAGCATTGAAGATGATGACTGATAAATTGTCAGACAAAATTTAAAAAGGAATTGACTGATATAAATCTATGATTGATATAGCAAAAAATATTGAGTCTTTTCTAGCTGCTGTCATAACAAAAGAATTAACTAGGCAGAATATAGTGATAACATTTAATAGTTATTTCACATTACTTGGCAACTAATTAAGTGTTAAAATATTACAACTGCACTGAATAAATTCTACTAAAAAAAATCTACTATTCATTCATATATTGAATATTGTTGCCAAGTCTGGGTTACTGCTTCTGTTGTGTGTCTGAAGATTCTTGATAAAATCCAAAAAAGAATCACTAATGTTATCAGTCCTGATCTGATATCTCAGCTTCAGTCACTTTTCTGTTGCTGTAATGTAGCTTCCTTTTGCCTCTTCTATAAATATTTTCATGGTAATTGTTCTGATCAGCTTTCCCTGGTATGTTGACTTCACAAATCTAAGTGAAGTACTAGATTAGCAGCTGTGTATCATAATTTCAATGTTGAAATTACTAGTTGTAACCATAAGTTGTAAGTTCTATACATTAGCTTCCATAGCTTTATTCTCTCACACTTCTCACTTATGGAATTCTCTTCTGGTTTCCTGCTTTTCTGTCAACTGTGATCTTCAAAAATATAATTGCAATGTCATTTTCAGTCTTCTTGAATCCTGCCCTGTTATTGTCTTCTTTCTTTCTTTTGCACTTGGTAATCCCTTTGTATCCTAGTGGCTTTATTGCCTTCCTTGAGGTGAAATGATTAAAAAAAACTTTATTGAATATCAACAGAAATTACAAACAATTTTATAAAAAATGTTTATTTGTTTTTATGATATCAAAAATGATTGATGTTTAAAAATGAACAACCAAAATGAGGCCCAGTAAAAGGAAATATTATACTTAAGAAACAGTTATTATAGTAATTTGCATGTTAAATCAAAGTTTCCAATTCATAAATCTAGTTAAGATCAGATGCTACAGCATAACAATCAGCAGTTCATCTTATAAGCTTTGCAAAGTTAGACATTTAAACAGAAAAAATTATTTTTCTACTTTAGCTTGAACAAAATCGTATTCATGTCATAATTATTTAGGAATATGCTGTACTTGATTTTTTTCTTATTTCATATTTTGAAAATATTTACTTGCATTTTTACCAGTTTATAATATTAAATCTCCTGATATATTGGTTGATTAGTTATTTATCAGTCATAGATAGGTACAACAATAAGACTGTAACCTAATAGTGAAAAATATATTCATTTTACAATATTTATTTTCAACATAATCTCCTTTCTGGTCAATACACTTAATTGTGAATATTAATCACACCAAATGTTATACAGTGAAAATTTCATATAAAAATTAAACAAAGTATATATAAGACTGTGTAAACCTATTGATCCGACTGATATGTACACATTGTTAATTTAGCTGGTTAAATGCATTGTTGTTTAGACATTTTTGGTTCTAAATGCTTTTCTTTCCATTAAAGAAGCTAAAAAAAATCTCACTAACATGAAAAGAATTTAAAAAAAAAAAATTTTTGATTCTATTTTTCATTTTTTTTACGTTTTACTACCATTTTTGCTCTAATTTTCTTTTTCTTTTCTTTTTCACCTTCAACTCTTATTTTTTTATAGTCCTCTTTTTTACTCTTTCTTTTTTCTTAATTTATTCTCTAATCTTTTGGCTTCCTTCATTTTTTCAATCATTTTTAATTAACTTAATATTTCCTTTCACTTTCTTTATCCTTTTATTCACTCTTCTTTGTTTTCATCATTATATCAACAAATCTAAGCTTATGGAGCATTATTTGACTAATTCAGCTTTAGCACTGAAAATGTGTATTTTATTATAGTGGATGGTTACAAATGAGACAGGAGATGGAATGTGCTTATTTTATTACCACAACCATCTTTTGTCCTTTCTTTCTATCATCCAGTTTGGTTTTCTCCTGTCATTTTTCTCTTTCCCTTCTTTTTTATTATTTTTTTTTTTTTACTTTTCTTTCTTGTGTTATTTCTTTGCCATATTCTTACACTTTTATTTCCTTAATAACCTCATTATTTCCTTTTCCCAAACTCTTCTTTTTCAATTCTTGTTTTTTCACATTTCTTTTCTCCGTTTTTTTTTACCAAGCACTGTGTAAAAATAATTGCTTTTCTTCTACTAATCCTACAGTTCAATAAAATGTATCACAATTATATTTACACAGAGTACATATTAGATATTACTGGTTTAAACTCAGAGGCAGATAATGCCACACAGAAGAAATATGGTTGTAATGCAAGCAGATTTGCATAATGGTTAGCCTTCACCTATTTATGATAAGTCCTTAACAACACATCATATTTATTGGTTTAAAAATAAATGTTTTTCTGTCTGTCAAAATAATTTTACTGAGACAAAATTTTCTGTACTTGCAATTTTTTAGTTTTTAAGGATATGAAAGAAAAAGTTTCTTGAATATGTTTTACTATAATGGAAAATAAAAAAATGTAAATATAAAAAGGTTATGATTACTTCTTCAGCTCAAAATTAGTTTATGGCATGTACTCCTACTCAAACAGAATATCGTAGATGGCTGAGTTTAAAGTGGGTATTCTACACAGACATGGAATTAGAGACAAAAATTCCCCAATTCACTGGCCCACTGGGACCCAACTTATTTTATTAAGAAAAACTAAATGAAAGATGGTACTCATAACTTTTTATGAAATCAGGTTTTAAAATTTAACAATGTTATCACATGTACTAAAATAAGAAATCTTGCCAGAATTTGGCAATTATACATTTGCCATTTATTATATTTCAGTTTCTCCTAAAATAGTTAAGTTTTAGGAAAAATATCTAATAAGTAAAATAAAGCATAAAAGTAAGAAATTGCAAAAGGGACCTTTCTCTTATTTTCATTATTTATTCTATTTTTGATTTTGATTTTCTGTAAAAGGAAAAGCTAAAATATTGCATTCAAGAGAAAATATTTGATTTTCTTACATTATTATTTACACAGTGAAGTTTAGAGTTAGATAATGATCACATTTTTTTTTTAAGCATTTCACCCCAAGCAAGGTGGGAAGCCATTAACACACAAGGGATTACAGAGATTTGGAGTGAGAGCAAATAGGAGTGATAGAGGAAAGGATGACGAGAAGGATAGGGGATAGATTAAGGCATCTGGAGATGTCAATCGACATTACATTTGAATAGTTGGAGATTATACCTTTCAGGGAAACAGGAAAAGGGGAGGGAGTTCCACAGGCAAGAGGTGAGAGACATGAAGCTATTGGAGTAGAAGAGACAACTACATTTAACAGTTTCGACAGTGAAGGTGTGAGTGAGATGCCAGTCTAGTAGAACGCTTAAATTCATGAAGTCTGGGAACCAGCAAAAGCAGCTCATTGGGGCAGTTACCATGAAAGTATTTGTAAAAAAGACAGAGAGAGGCGACAGCACGTCTGTGAAAGAGCGACTGCAGACAAGATGCCAGATCAGGGCCAATTACATTGCATATCCATCTCTGGATCTTATCAAGAACCTTGAGACAAACAGAAGGTGCACCAGACCATATATGCCAACAATACTCCATGCAAGGGTGAATGGTTGATTTGTAGATTTGAAGGATCAACTCCGGCAAGAAAAATTTCCTGGCACAGCACAGGGAGCCAACTTTCCTTGCGGTGGACGAAGCTATTGACACAATGTATTTGTTCCATCTCAGGTCAGCAGTCAATGTGAGACCGAGTAGTCGCAAAGAGGACCTCTCGAGAAGTTAAGCATCAGGCATTCTAATGGGGGGCATGGATGTTTCTCTGTGGTGAGTAATAGAGAGCAGTTTTGTTTTTGAGGCATTAAAGTTAACCAGCCAATTCCTGCCCCAGTTCACAACCGATTGGAGGTCCTTTTTGAGATGAACAGCCAGGTTAGTTTTGTCAACGACACTAGATTTGTTTTTGAGGCAGGAGTAAATTGTAGTGTTGTCCACGTAGATGCCTACTTGGGAATCTATGACGTCATGAAGATCATTGATGAAGATAAGAAACAAGAAACAGTAGGGCCTAGGATGGAGCCTTGGGGAACACCTGCGTTCGTGGGATAGGAGCTGGAGGAGAATCCGTTGAGAACAACCTTCAATACATGGTTTGACAGGAATGATTTTATTAAGTCAAACAATCGACCTGAACTTCCATAACCCTGAAGCTTGTGAAGAAGGCTGGCATGCCAAACCCTATCAAATGCTTTGGAGATATCTAGAAAAGCTTGGTAAACAATTTCAGTGATGTCCATAAGCACATCAGCTGTAGAATGGGCAAAGCGGAAACCATATTGTTTGTTGGAGAACAGATCATGGGATGTAAGGTGCTTAACCACTTAGTTGTTGATTAAAGCTTCAAAGACTTTGCTGAAGAGGGGTAGGAGACTGATAGGATGGTAATTAGAAGGGTCACCAGAGTTTTTAAAGACAGGAACAATGGATGAGGACTTCCAATAGTCTAGAAAACAAGATTCATTGAGGTAGTAGTTATATAATTTGGAGAGGGCAGGGGCCAGTTCAGGTGCACATTTCTTATGGACAATGGCTGGTATCCCATCTCCACCACTAGCCTTGTGGGGGTCTAAATTACAGATAATGCCCAATACCGATGACAGGGTTATGTGCAGCTCGCTCAGTAGAGCCTCAGTGTGGGTACACCGGACCTCTTAGTAACCTTAATGACATTTAACTTGAAACAGAAAAGTAAGTTTTTGAGAGAAATATTTTTGAGTTATTTTTTAAATTGATTCTTATTTTGATTCAATGTCATTAGAAAGTAGTGAATCAAAAGAGAATTGTTGAAAGTTGTGACAAAATGTTTTATTTTCTTTAATACTCATTTTCACATCAATCTATATTCAACACACATGCACACACACACACACACACACACACACTCACTTTTATATTATTTTTGTGATTGCATCTTCAGGTCTTACCACTTCTTCAAGATCTCCACATTTGTCTGCTAAAGACTGAATCTCCTTCTCTTTCCGATTAAGAGCTCCTGTCAAACGTTCACATGTATTCTTCCATCCAGCTAATTCTTCTTTTTGTATTGTGGATGCTGTTGACATCTCATCTACAGTCTTTTGTAACTTCTGCAACAGCAAATGTTTACATTATTTATGAGTCATAGAAATTGGCCAAAAGTGAATCTATATCAGAGAAAGATATCAGATTAAATATTAAAATTTACTCATTAAACTAACATTGCTCTTTAATCTTTCTTTAAATAAAAAAATATATTGAACTATCATAGCAGGATTTATGTGAATTAATTTGCATTTGACTCTTAAATATTTAACAAAAATGAATGCATCAGTAAGAATATTTAACAGAATGTCAATGAAAAGCTGGAAAAGTCTGTATAAATTTTTCACCTGGTCAAAATTAATAGATTTTAGCTGACAATTTTTTATGAGGCCTGATTATCACTTACTACAGCAATAAACATCAATCAACAAGCACCTTTTATTGTCAGCACTATAATTCAATCCTAATAAGTTAGAAAAATATTAATAAGACAATACCATAAAAATTGGGTTTCTGGTTCCTTGTAAAGTCTACTTCAACTCTCAACTCTGAAATTTTATTTATTTATTTTTCCTCAATAGGGGTAAATAGTATGCCTATCATCCAGTTCGCAATCCTCTCCAGTATTTTGAACAAGAGTAAAGGTTTATCCCTTGTTTTCTGTTTAGGATTGGGTTTCCAGTTACTTCTAAAGTCTTTTGATTCACTTTCAGTCCCTGTAGCTCCTTGCATCTTAATAGCTTTATTGCCTTTCTTGAGGTGAACTGATTAAAAAAAATATGTACACTAAGATATATTCATTTTAAATATTCATTTTAAATATTCTTAAAATATTTACAGTTCATTTAATTTTTTAATTTATCCTATGCTCTCAAGAAGCTTTTTTTTCTCTCAAAAAATTAAATATAATAAATATTGTTTATTTTTACTTGGATTATTGGATATATAAAAATATATCAATCAAAATGACAGTATCTTATTTCTAACCATTTACTTCAATTGAGGTATTGAATTATTTTTATTTCATGTATCACTTAACAAGAAAAGAAAATATGTAAATAACCTCAACAATTACAGTTTTATAACTGAAAATCTAATGTAGCTTTTTCGTGATTGTAAAATGAAAAGAATCCATATTTATCATAAGGAATATTTATTTCATTGTTAATGTTAGTCATTAAGAAATTCCTGGTTATGTCGAAGTAAATGAAGCAATAAATTATCTATACTTTTAAACAACTTCTTCTCATTGAATTTTTACATATATAATTAAACTAAATTTTAATTTAAACTTTTCAAACAATTTATTACCAAAGAGTATGTCTGCTAGCATTCTGGTCTAATGTTCACTATTAAGCTGAGATAACATTTTTCTCAAATCTTCTGAATAATTTTACTGCTTAATGTTCTCACTCACTCTAATTCTATTTTTATAAGTCCCTTTCTCTGCATAGTTAAGTCAGAAGTCACCTTTGCTCATGGCAGAACTATTAGATTATAACAGTTGGCTAGCAAACAAGGGATAAAATTCTTTACTAATGTTTTTCCTTGTAATGTTATTTTCTTTATCATCTTGAAAAAATAATATATAGAAATATATATGCTTCTTTATATTTTATGAAAAATATAAATTTTTCTTTTCTTTTTGTGTAAATATGCATATACATTTTCAAATCTTGCTTAAAAATATTATTATTATCAAAAGTTAACTTTAAAGTTATTGCTGAAGAAATAGGACAGGGTGAAAAAGAAGTAAATCAGTATTTCTCCAATGTGGAATAATAGTATATAAAATGTTAATATTAATTACATAGCATTTCAGTATTATTTCCTTAAATTTCTTGAATACATTTTTTGCTATTTAAATTTTTCTCATGTTAAACATTTTAATGTTTTGTTATTGTTTTTCATGCAGTTATGTACATATTTTTAATTACAATAAACCACATTTCTGAAATTTCCTTTCTCAACTACAATGTTTTAAACCTCAATATGGAGGACTTTATTACTTTATTATTTTAAAATGCAACAGAATTATTAATAACTATCATAGCAATCAGTGTTTTAGAATACAATGGATTCACTTTATAATTGGTTTGAATTTTGATAAAATTGAATAAAATGATAAAATTTACCTGATAACACATATTGTTAAATATTATTTATCAGTAGAAATCTTAATCACAACTCACATATGTTTAGTAGTGAGGTTGTTGGCTTAAATTTTATAACATCTTTAAGTTATTTTTCAGTACCATCACATTTGATTATCTAAATGAATCCCAAAACAGTCAAAAATAGCATAAAAGCAAGAAACATGAATATATTTACATGAAATTAGAAATGTTTACCTTTAAAATTTTTAATAAATTGTATTTGATTGTCAGAGAAATATGTACCTAAATTCCATGTATACAGCATTTAAAACATTATATTTAATTTTTAATTAATTAAAAGTCAGGTTTCCTTACTCTAATACCAGTTAGATTATCTCAATATATTTTTATTGATCATTTAATGATAAGCCTGGTTAACAATACTTTCCAATGCTCCAATTACGGGTTCTCTATACATTGCAATGTTATCTAAATTTTTTCTCAAAAGTTAGAAAATTAAAATTAAGTTATTATATTATTGTATGCTTACTGGAATAAAAGAAAAGTAAAATAACTTTTGTTATAAAAAAAGTAACCTGTAAAATTAATTTTTTTGTGGGATATAAGGACAAAGAACTATTGCCTAATTTAGGAACACAGTTTCAGATGAAGTGTTTTACATTTTTTAAATTATCAGTGAATGAAAAAGTAAAATTTGAGTCTAAAAATGAAGAATGAAAATAGATTGATTACCCAAGGTATTTTATCTTTTTACCAAGCTCTTACATCTTTCCTTAAATTTTTCACAATTCAAAGCAGTTTCCTTTTCAAAATAAGTCTACTGAACAGTTTAAGATTTCTAGTTTTATGCTTACATTTGTTTCACATCAACTCAAAAATGTAAACAGAATTAGTAAAAAATACCAAAAATTATAATTATCTCAACAAATTGCCAGGTTGCAATATCTCATTACCTAAATTGAAGATATTTGTCTTTCATACATTTAAATTGATAATATTTATGTACACAACAATAATTGCCTCTCATTTGGCAAATAACTTACTTGTTCCAATTCAGTGCATTTCTCTTTTTGCTGAACTCTTATCTGATTACCATATTTTATTTCTTCCTGCAAAAAGTATCAATGAAACTAAATAAAAAAGAAAAAGTTGTTCTAGACAAAATTATTCATGAAATTTATTCATCACCTTCAATGGCTTGTTAATTTTAACCTCCGAGAGAACATTTTTTACCTTCCATTGGCATGGTTGATATTAACCTCCAGTGACACATTACATCTTCTCAGGCAAATGTTTTCCACTAACATGAAGTGGAAAGATAAGATTGAATCAATATCAAAGTCAACTGCTAGGAAAATTAGTTCACTGTGTTGTACTAGACAGTTTTTCTTGCTAGAATCTATCTTACATTTATAAGTCTACCATTCATACATGCATTGAATAGTGTTGTCAAATCTGGCTTGGTGCTTCTGCTATGTATTTAGAGAGAAGAATCTGCAATGTTCTTGGTCCTGAACTGGGATTTTGGCTTCAGTCGCTTTCCCATCACTGTAACATAGCTTCCCTGTGCCTTTTCTATAAATATTCTCATGGTAATTATTCTGATGAACTTTTCTCTTTGCTACCTAAACTTTATGAATTTAAGTGAAGTACTAGATGGGCAACTAGACCTCATCATTTTACAGTTGAAATGACTAGATGTAAGTTCTATGCTAACAGTTTCTTCTCTCACACTTCTCGCTTGTAAAATTCTCTTCGGGTTTATTGCTTTCCAATCAACTTTGATCTTCAAAAATTTAAATGCAATGTCAATCCTTATCTTATTGCTGTTCTTTTATTGTTCTTGCTCTTTAATAATGTTTTCTTTTTCTCATATTCTTTCACACTCAATACACCCATACATGTGTTTTACTGGCTTTATTGTCTTGCTTGGAGTAAAATGATTTAAAAACAAAATAAAAAAAAAATTCATATTAAATACTAATATTTTTTGACATGATAATATACATATTCATTGGAATATAAGAAAATAGCTATTGCCAAATCTCCTGGTGAAATAAATAAAAATACATTTTTCAACTCTGTCATGACATTACTATAAACCTTCATTCAACTTTTGCTACTTTATTGCTTGTAAATATTTAAAATGAATTTTGTTCTTATCACAATGCCTTGTCTATTCTGTTTAATACTTTTGCAGTTACTTAAGTTTCATTCATTAATGATATGAGCCCGCTACACTACCAGTGAGGCAATAGAAGGCAAAAGAAAAGGATTTCTTTGATCAACCTCTTTGTTTCTAAATATGGCTTATTCTTAAAAATGATCTTTCAAAGATTTGTATCTATACTTTATAGTCTTTAATGGAATATATATTATACATGGGGGACTTTTCAGCATCTGCAGTCATCTACAATGATCTGTTTTTATTTTTCACAGACTATTAATTTTATTAAAAGTTATTTTATTATAAAATTCCTACGATTGAATTAAATATTAATTCTTGCTAGATTGTTACAAAATAACTGTAAACTGTAAACAATGAAAATATTAATTTGTGAAAGATTAATTAACAAAGTTAAAAAAAACAAAACATCTTTATGAAGATGATCTTGACACAAAACGAGTAAAACAGGACTTCATCTAAGAAAAAAGATGGAAGGATTTTTTTATTCTGGATTTTAGGGTAGAAAAGTAAAGTGCAATAAATAACAGGTTCTTCCAGTCTGATGTTCTTCTGGTCTTAATGTTTAACCTGAAAACTACAAAACTGGTTTGTTCACTTGTTTGACAAGTAATAGCAAATAAGAACACTGCTTCAGTAGCTTATAGCAAATAAGTTTTAATAAATTTCATCAAAACTTTGGAAGAAATTTGTTCAAATATTTTATCATTTTCTTATATATTTTGAATGTTGTGCAGATCCTAAAAGTGGGAAGGATGTTTAAAATATTTTAACTTTTTAATTTCCAATCTTTATCAAATAGAACAAATGTACTAAATAGATTTTTTAACTTATTTTGAATAATTTTTAAATAATTTTAAAATCCTTTTTATAAAGATTCCCATGGTATTTTTGCAAACAGTTATGAATAATTCTACTAATAAAAATTATATTTTTTATTATCAGTTGACACAGACTACAAGTAGAACTTTAACTTTTTAATTCAGAATTATTTTTAAATCATGAAGCCATAAAATCTATATGCTGTTTAACTTGTAACCAAATATTTTATATCTACCTACTGGATTGAAGTGATTCAATATATCAGGTTTGGCTTGTGTACAATAATTTAATTGTTATTTTATATAATAAATAAGAATTTATATATATAATATATTCTATACTGCTAATATCTGTTAAACCTGATGAAGAGTAACATTTTATTTCTACTTCCAAACCTTTTTTGAGTGTTTTCATGTTTGAAAATAAAATTGTTAAATTCATTTTTCTGTGATGGTAGCTCATAAGTTCATATAATGAACTCTTTCTCATCCATTTCTATCAATTAATTTTTGTCAGATTTTCAAATGAAATAGGTTGCCACCTGAAAAGGTAAAAACCAATGAAATCAAATGATGCAGAAACACTTAGATCTAAATGCATAATCAGATTATGCAACTTAACCACTGTACCATACAAATGTGTACTGAATGACTTAGATCATTCTGTTATTTGAGAAAATAAAAATAAAACTTGACTCACTTTGAGTTGGAGTATTGTATCTTCAGAATTTTTCTTTTCACTTCTATAATATTTCTTTTTGTCTTCAAGGTTCTGAAATTCAGTACAATAATTTTAATTTTTATTGTGTTTAAATTATTTCAATGACAAATTAAACTTGTGTGTTGAAACTCAGACAAAAGACAAAAAAAATTTGTAGTTTAATTTGAAATTAATATTTGAAAGTAATATTCATTTGGTGAAAATCTATTTAAAAAAGATATTTTCAAAATGTTTAAGAGTAAAATGTTCTGTTTATTAAACTAAATGCAGACAAAAAATACAAACAAATAAATGTACTTGAAAAATAATACGAACAAATAAATGTAATTGAATTCAGAACAATTAATTAACTGGTAATATATGTGGTTAATTTATTAGAATTGGTCTCTGCGGAGTTTGTTAGTAAATGGCCCTAACACTTTTATATCAAATTTTGATTAGATTGCAGATTTAATATGGGATCATTTATTTTGAGTGTAAGAATTTTCAAGCAGGAATCTGAAAAATTGTAAAAATTGTGTTTATTTATAATCTTGATTTTAATGAACATTCTCTTCTCAGTGCCATTAGACAACTAATGGAACATAGAACTACAGTGTAATCATGCTAGATTTCCAAAGGGTATTTGTGCGAGAGTGAATGCAACAAACAACTGGCATTTGAGCACAGAAAGTCCAGATTGATAACTGCTACACTACATGCACATCATTTTTAATGAACATTAAAAAAATAAAATTTTCATGAAATTCTAATGATTAGAGCAGAAATTTCATGTAACATTTAAAACTAATTAAAAATAACTTCAATTCAAATATCATCATTACTACTGTAATGACTAAAGTGATCAACTGAGTTTGTTTCAGTAGTAGTTCTATTGAATTTCTTCAGGGAAGTTTAACAGAAAAATGATGAAAATTCCTTCTTTTTTTTTCTTTTTTTCATCATTTCACTCCAAGCAAAGTAATAATACCACTAAAATGCAACAGGTTACTTGCAGTGAAAGAGAAAGGGAAGTAAGGAGGAAGGACAATTCTGGAAGACAGAAGATTGCAATTGATGTTGCATTTAAATTTTTGAAGATTGTAGGTGGCAGGGTGGCAAGAAAGGAGAAGAGAGTTCCGCAAGTGAGGAGTCCAAGAAAAGAAACTATTAAAATAGAAATGGTTACATCTAGCTAAAATTCAATACTAAAATGATGAGACCAAGTTGCAAATATTTTCAGTATTTCTAGAAAATACAGAGAGACTTATAACCTTATGAAAATTAAACTTTAGTTTTCATAATTATTTCTGATAATATATAAAACACTTATTGCGCTGTAAAAAGTATACAACATCACAGTATCGAACAAATCATTTTTAAAATTATTTAAAACTTTGAGTTGAATAGTGTAAGGGGGATGACTCTACTCATACTATTTACAAAATCTGAGCGAGTGTAATTTAATATATTTTTGTAACGTAAATATTTCACATTTGCCCTTTATTATTTCTTTTCTTTTCTTGCTAATTACGAGAATATTTTATTGAAAGATTTAATTCACTTGGATATTTTTAAAAATTTTTATTCATAACTTCAGTTAATTTTTCTAATGAATTACAGTGCTCCAGATAAGTGAGAACAAATTATAATATTAAAAAAATTAATAAAGATATTCAATCGGACAAAAGAAAAGGAATTGTACACATGATCAACTTAGAAAAAAAGAAAAGAAAAGTTATTCAATAAAATAAGCCTCACAGACGGTCTTGACATAGGTCATGTGAGAAGGAGGAGAGTCTAATTGGGAAATATACAATCCAGCCAACTCTTCAATCCTGGGATTGCCCAGTACCTCAATGCAGGCAACATGAGGCCATGTAAGAAAAAAAATGACCCCCATTTTCATTCCTCCTGTTACCTAGCTACATTCAAGAGGCTCCAAGTTGTTGTGGTTGGCTGCTAATGATAATGATTTAATTTTCTGTGTCACATTAGAGAAGCTACCCTTTGAAATCACTTGATACATTTAAAAGAAAAATGAAAATATTTAAATTTTCTTCCTTTTATGACTTTCTATACATGTGTTCTCAAATACAAACGCATGCATACGCACAAACACACACACACACACACACACATAAAACCATGTTCAGGGTGTTAAGTTGTCTGTGTGTATGAATGTGTGTTTCTGTAAATTTAAAACATTTCAAGTGTTTGTTCTTACTGCTTATGTAGCATACTAGATTTCAAAGTTCATGTGTTTTTTTGCGTTTTTCCTTTTTTTTTTCTTTCCAGTATAAGGGAATTAATTTTTCCATTTTTGCTCATACATGTGTAATTTTTCTTTTTTTATAAACATTTAAGGAGTTTGTTGCTATACTCATAGTTGATTTTATTTATTTTGGGCTTTAATTCTCTTATAATAAGGGCTTCAAGGATTTTTAGCTTTTGCTTATTATTGTTTTTATGTAATCTAGATGTATCTTCAACTAATATCCATCTAATCTGTGAGTGTGGGCATGAGTGTTCCTTTAAATGCTGAGATATGAAACTATGCCCAGCCAAATGAAATGTAAGCCATTTTTTTATCATTGTCGTAGTAACACATATGCATACTTTCAGACAACCCCCTGAAGATGGTCTCAGATGAGATTGAAAATACTTGGGTAAATAAAAACTATTTGAAAGAAAATTTTGGTATTTTTCTTAATCAATTTTCTAAGGCTACCAATAAATTAATTCATGAATTTGAAAGGTTCACAATGAAAACTAATTGACATGCTATGTCTAAATTATTTAACCAAACCTGTTTAAATGAAAATATGCTGCCTAAATATACACAATATAAACACACACACACACACACACACACACACACATATATATATATATGATTGTATACATAATGTACACCAAACTTCTAGTAGTGGCTGGTCAAAATAACACCTTGTTATATCCAATGCTCTGCCCTTTTGGCATAGACCACTTTCTTTATCACTTGTCATCTACTTCAGAAATCTTGTTTGGAGTACAAAATTTAATTGCATACAGGACAGATATTATTAAAAAAAAAGGTAAAATAGGAAAAAAAAAACCCACTGAAGTAGTTTGATATGAAAATACAAGACAAATTAAATGTTTGTTCCCTCGCCATTTTGATTTTGTCTTGTATTTTCATATCAGACTACTTGCTTTTCTTACTTATCTTATCACCTCAAGATAATGTCTGTCCTGTATGCAATTATTATATAAATATATTTTCTCTTGTACAAGAATATTGCAGACCCAGTATTGTAGTTTTTATACTACACTCCCTCGTCAAGGTTTAATTTGTACCCATATTGTTGAGCTCTGTTTAATGACACATGGAAATATAATTTTATTTCTGGTGTTTTTTCCCTTTCCCTTTTCCACTTAGGGTGATATTGGCTATACCATTTGAGTATTTCCACCTCACTGGTTTAGGTTGGTGTGTGCATTATGTGTACACACCAACTACTCTTATTATAACATCTTGGGATAACCAAAAGGATATAAGTGCCCATATCACCAAAAACCACTACCAGTTGCCTGATTACTGCACACATAGCACTAGTAGTAGCTGGTTGAAACAACACCTTGTTGTTATAATAATAATAATAAATATATCTTACAACAGTAATTTATTTATATAAGAGCAATTTCAAAAGAAGAGACCAGATGAGTATCTATTAGTGATATTTTATTTACTAATCATAGCTTAATTTTTAGCACAAGGCTTCAAGAAAAGGACACTCAGTAAGGATATCTAATGAAATCAGTAAGATTTGCAAAATGAGCTTTTCAATAAGTATATTATGACAAGCAATATATTTCAATATATTGGTAACTGATAACAAAGATGAATGTAAGTTGGAAACTAAGGCTTCTCTGCACATGTGGAGTATGTGTGTCTCTAGACAAAGGAATGATCTTTGATTTAAGTTCTCACTTAATAACTTCATGGCAGATTAACTTTTCTGAAATCCAGACTGACTGCTTCTTAGACTTCAGCAGCACATGCTGAGTGAATGTAATAAAAGATTCAAACTTTTTAAAAAATGAAATCACATGACTGTTTAAAATGTAAAACTTTGTTTATTGCAGTTACAGAAATGTTTACTTGAAATATACATTCACTCTTTTGCCACTCTGACAATGAATCCTAACTTTGTAGATTTCAGATACTTACATATTTTACCACTAATTAAAATTTCCATGACATTTCTGCATGTTTTCAATTAGACATTTTTTAATGATCATTATCATATATATGTTTTTAATAAATTTCATTGCTATAGTTTATTTCTTAAAGCGGAAAATTAATTTTTATAAATTCTTTTTTTTATCATAAAAATCACTAAATATAAGGATTTCAATTTTTTTTTCTTTGGAAATTTTAACTGAGTGATATGAATTTTCATTTGTTACTCTGAAGATATTTTTGTTCTTTTAGTAATTGATTCTGAATTAACATGTACTTGATTAGTGGAAAATATATTTTGTTTTAATAGATTAATTTTTAGTTACTGAATATTTTAAATATGATGTGTAACTAAAAAGTTCTTAGCCTGACCCACTTCCTAAAATCAGTATTCCAATGACCAAATATCAGTGGGTTAGATAGAGAACCATTCAACACCCATATAATGTTTTTTTCTTTGCATGTTTATGTATGAATGTATGTGTGCTTTTATGATCAGCTTTTCATTCAAAATGCATTATTAACAGTTTGTTGTACTCTTTGTGTAATTGTTTTGATAGCAAGAATAGAAGTAGCATTTTAATTGTAAGTATTAATATTTAGCCTCAAAATCTCCCTTAATTTTTTTATCAGTATAGATATGTTTGAATTATTTTACTTTTAACTTGTTCACTTAGTTCACCGAGCTGCTAAGTAATTTAAGTCATTTTATATTAACTGAAATGGTGACAAACTTTGATTTGTCCAAAAGGAAAAAATCTACTAAACATTTACCTCTTTAATGTGAGTGATATTTTGTTCCAGCTGTTTTTTTTCTTGTTCCAGGCTGTAGCACTTTTGTGTGAAGTGAGAACTTGTCTTTTCTAAATCAGCAACCTGTTCTAGGACTTGCTCATAAGAACTTTTCACAGAACATAGTTCTCCTGACAATTCTTCACACACCTACAATAACAATGTGCAATAGAAAATTAATACAATAAACAAAAATGCTTGTGTGCCAGCATTACATTCTAACTTACATTGTAACTGTCTTTTGTGTATACACATTTTATCCCCAAAACAGAATTTAATGAATAATGCTACACATAATTGCACAGGAAATGTTAGAAAGTAATAACATTGGAAGGTTTTTACATTATTACATTTTTCTATACACTGAAATTTTGGTTTAAAAGATTAAATAAATTTTGTTTTGTTTGTTTGTTTTATTGTTCCAACTAAGAACAAAAAATCAATTTCAGTGACTGATCTAATGGCAAGTGACAACTTTTTTAGAAATTAAAACAAATGTGGTTAAACTTTGAATGACTTTTTAAAATGACTTCTAAGTGTGATGATGATTTCCAACTTTCTGAATTGAAAAGCCTTATTTAGAACTTTTGATGTCAGCAAATAATGTTAGTGTTATGAAAGGCTTACAATCAATTATTACACTTTCTAACAACTATTAAGGATTATGTTTTGGTTTTAGTCATATATGGTTTAAGCAATACCCACACGAAATGATTTTTAGCAAGTATTTGTCAAGTTTATAAATTTTTTTTAATAATTTTTTTTAATTCTATTAATTCCATTTTCCTACATTAAATATCTTCATATTACTGAAATTAATTTTAAAGATATGTTTTCTCCTTTTACAAACTTCTTTACATTAGAATTAATAAATCTCTAAATACACACACACACATTTGTGTGTAACAGCCTGTTCAGATTTGACTGAATTCCTGTTAAGCCATTTTGTTTCATATACTATTATTTCAAAACTTCTACAAATAAATTTTGTGATCTTTAATAATAGAAGAAAGTTTCACATATGAACCTAGTTTTTGATAATTTAAGATTTAAGACCATTATAAATTAATAACTGTTATTGTGATACTATATATTTGCTTATATTATTATGTATAATAAAGATAATTTTTGCTTTTATTTATATCCTATAAATGTATAGCCTATAAAAATGTAATAAACAACTAATGTTTAGGATAGTTTGAAATTTGTATGTTTTATTTATTATGGATTTATCATTGATATTAATTGGTTGAGTATATTCTAACATGTATTAAGCAAATTATCCTGAATGTTTTAAAGTAAAATTTATTATAAATGATAACTGTAATAATGATTGTATAACTATTATATAATTTTATCTAAACAAATATTTTTGTTTTTGGTTTTATTTTGAATATATCATCATTTTATAACAAAATCTATTAAAGAGAGTTTTACAGATTATTTTTCTAAAAACATAAATAGAAAACAATTTTAAAACTGAAAATCAGAAAATATAATTTTCATAATTTTTTAAGCTAAAAGTAACCTAATATTCTTAAAGTTCTTATTTGAGAAATGGAGATCATATTCTCCATTTTATTGAGAATAACTGATTGAAAAAGGAAAACTCCCTATATCTTTTTGGTGCAACTATGTGTGTTAAAATGTTAAACATAGCTTCACACACACACACACACACGATAATAGAAAGCAGTCAGACTGACTGTTACTTTAGCCGGATGGTGAGCAAGCACACTCAGATTTATATACGTGAAAAAAGTTGCTTGAAGACATTATTTTTGGATTCAAGAATTAAAATAGACAGCATATGTTTTCTTTTTATTGATTTAAAAAAACAAAACAAAACACAAGTGTAGTCAAAAATATGGTTATATTTGTGATAATTTAGAATCAATTTTTACTTTTTAAGATAGGAAATTAGACATTTAAACTTATTAACATCCTTGATGTTAAGCCATTTTTTAATTCTTACAGGATAGGATGAATTTTTAAACCCACTACAAACAGGAATGACAAACATTATTTAGTTCCTGATGGTTGCATAATATTGTTTAGAGATAGTAAATTTAAACATGTGCTTTGTTTAAAGTAATATTTAACAATAGTTATATTTCAGTCCCCTAGGTGACTGAACTATAACTGATATATATAAGAGGTAAGATCAAACATGTGGCTATATTAATGTTCATTTATATTTAAACTGGATTTATTGAAAGAAGACGACTTTATGGACACACTAAGTAAATTCTCATGTATGCCTTATTGATCACATTAAAAAGAAATGGATGTTGGCAAATTTATATTTTGTATATTTAGGTTACTAAAACTGTTCTGTGTTTGTCAATAAATGACATTAGGAGCCTTTAGTTTTTTAACTTCATTAAAAAAAATATCATTTTTCATTGTGACAATTTTTATTTTTAAGTAAATGTTCTCACATTTAGTGTTTATTTTTGTTTATTGATTCTAACATGCCCCATTTTTCTGAGCTACATTTTTGGCATATTGTGCTTTTTTAATTTTAAGAATGATAAAAATACAACTCAAATGCAAAACAAAAATTTCTGAATTTTATGGAGACAGTATTGTGAATGACTGACAAATATATCAAAAGTAGTTTTATTTAAAAATGCATACTGCTATGACAGTTTTGATATATTTATCAATAAAGTTTTTTTGTTTTTTTTACTGGAGACTTTTTGCAAAATAATGCTCCAAAGCCATTCATATTAGAAGAACTTCATTGCAACCAAATGAAGATATCACTTGAGAATAATCAATTTTGTATGATAAGGAGAAAGCTAATATTTGCCAGATATCCACATCAACTACTGAAACACATTTGCACCAGTTTGCTTATGTTAGTCACTTTGATGTGTGGCTTCTGCATAAGAGAAAAACATTACTGGGTTTCTATATATGATTTATTAATTACATTGTGATGATCAATGAAAAGCTGAGACTTTACAACAGCAATACAAGAGGTCATGAAGCAGGTGAAATTAACTGTCAGTAAAAAGGATTTTTTGTGACTGAATATTGCAATGAATTCAGTAAACATTATAATAAGTCATACATTATTATCTGAAGGTGTTATTGAATTTTTTGTTAAAATCAGTCAATTTACCCCTCCATCAACAAAAGTTAACATAGGTTATCATCATGCTATTTACATATGATAAAATGAAAAACCAGATAAGCCTTCCCATCTTATCAAACTTGAAAGATTGAAGAGAGTATACACTTTGGAAAGTTAAATGTTTTATATAACAGTAACTACCCAAATACTAGAGGTGATCTAGATATTGATGCTATTATAATGCTTCAATCAGATTATGATGAATCATATTGGATTAAGCTTTAGGTTGCTGAGTCAGTGATTTGTATTTTTGGTTTTTTTTTTTTTTTTGATTGTGGTGTTTGTGACAAAATGGGATTTAATTTCTACTAAGATTTTTTGGCTGATGATAAAAAATCTTATTTACAAAATAAAAGAATTATTTAAATTTAGAAGCAAAAAATGTGTCACTTCTTTGAAAAACGTGTGTCTAGAGTTATGAATGTTGCAGCTATTGACATCTGATTGTGGCTAAAAAAGTGATCAATGAAAAAAGCATGGATGGAATTAAACTTTAAGGATGCTATAGCTCAGATACATGGACAAAGGGTCAGTCAACATATAACACAATGGGGCTATTATACTTTTCCAGGTTCATTTCAGAAAAACAAATTCAAGCAAATTCTACTAAATTTGAACAAATCAACTTAAAACTCACAATACAGAAGAATGTAAGTGAAGAATAAGAATAAAAGAAATTTCTTATTTAATTTTAATCTTGATTATTTCAAGTATATGACAGAATGTTTAAAAATGAATAACGATTTTATTATACATATAGAGTTGCAAAGATTAACTTTATTAATGTTATAATAATTATCCAGAACAACATTTTTATACTAGAGTTAGATTCTGTGTGTGTGTGTGTGTGTGTGTGTGTGTGAGAGAGAGAAAGAGAGAATGGAATTTGTGGGAAAATGTGACTCAGTCAGGACATCTCTATTGACACCAAAGTGGCAGAGTTAAGGTTCTTCAGCTTTTCCCTTGGTGTTGAATGATTTGTGAAATTAGAAATAGATTGATCTGGAACATTATATCAACTAGTACTGGCATTATTCCTAATCATATTTATGGTTGATTTTTTTTTATTAATAATAATAATAATAATAATAATATATATATATATATATATATATATATATATATATATATATATATATATATATATATTAATAATAATAAATGGAAAAAAATGTGACACCTTAAAACTACCTTTTAATAAGTTGATCCCTATGTATAATAAGAAAGGTGCAGGCAAGAATAATAGCAATCTCTCTGGCAGCCTCTGTTTACAAGAGATTTTTTAAAATTGCACTGTGGGAACTTCATTTACTCAGGAAAGTATTATTAATATAAAGAAAATATAAACACTGTACATTTTAAGTATCACTTAACATCTAAGACTAAATATGGTTTTTTGTATAATTTTTTTATTATTATTAAATATAATTAATCAATATATTCCTAAATTACAAAGGTATATTTTATGGGTTCAACTAGTAATGATGATAATGATAGTAATAAAAGTTTCCAGTTAAGGAAAGGACTTCATTGGAAAATTAAAAATTAGAATTAACTTCAGGAGGACACAGTACCTCACAGGTAAAAAAAAATCTATTTTCACTACTATTTATCATAGCAATAATGATGCTGAACAATATATTAAAGAAATGCAACCAATGTTACAGATTCACAGAATTATGAGTTTGTCAAAAATAAAAAGAAATTTGAAATCCCCTTACAAACAGAATCTTCAGTCAAGTCATCAGAATAGATTTTTTCATTGAGTAATGTGCATATGTTGGTAATGAATAAAAGAAAAAGAGAGACAAAAGAAAGAATAGAACTAAATAGAAAATAATTAGGAACAGCTGAATATTTTAGAAGCAGAAAGAGATGAAGTAAAAAGCCAGCAAAGAATATCTCAGAAGAACATGAAAAATATTAGAGATCAAACTATCAAGAAGAAAATTAATTAAATACCTGGGCAGTTTTCACTGTGGTCTCTTGAACTAGACAAGAAAGCAAC